ACTGAGAGGGCAAAGGAGTAGAATTGAAGAGACAGAAGCCAGAACTAGTGAGCTAGAAGATAAATCTTTCAACACTACTAAGATAGAAAAGCACAAAAAAGATTTTAAAAAATCTGAAGAAGGCCTAAGATTTATGTTGGCCAACATGAAGAGGAATAACTTTAGACTTACCGGCACTCTGGAACTGAAAGAATCACACAAGTCCATAGAGGAGATACTTGAAGAGATGCTGGAAGAAATTTTTCCTAACATCCTGAAATGCGAAAAGATAAGCAGTCAAGAAGCTCATTTATAAATGCTTACTCACATTCCAAAAACTTCCATATTCAGGGTCCTTTGCACTGTTAATTTGCCAGCCCTTTTAGAAATGATTTGGTTTCTAAAATATCCAATCAGATACTAAGCATTGTGAAGACACTTATGAAATAGTGAAAGTACTCATGTTTTCATTCCAGATCCGCCGATGGCATAACCAGGGACTGCCTCTTGGTAAGTATTCAGCAGAGAATGCCATCTTGATCAAAAACGGCCAGCAGTGGCCCCTGCTGATTGACCCACATAAACAAGCACACAACTGGATCCGTCAGATGGAAGGGTCCAGACTGCAGGAGGTCTCCATTGAAGACAGCAATTACACCAAAAAAATGGAAAACGCTATGAAAACAGGAGGGAGTGTTCTTTTACAGGTATCTGAATAACAGTCTAACTCGCTAATTCTACGCAGCTCACACATATATATGTTGTTGTTGTTGTTAAGTACCGTGGAGTCGGTTCCGACTCATAGTGACCCTGTACAGGGTTTCCAAGGCTGTAAATCTTTACGGGAGCAGAACGCCTCATCTTTCTCCCTCGGAACAGCTGGTAGTTTTGAACTGCTGACCTTGTGGTTGGCAGCTCAACTCGTAACCACTACGCTACCAGAGCTCCTTCACATATATATTGTGCTCAGTATAAAGAATGAGAACTTTAAGTGGCAGGTACCTTTGTCAAGGCAAAAACAATGAACAAGAAAGTAAAGTGGCTTGAACAATTTAGTTGTTTGAAAAAACAGACCCTGATAAAAGTAAACCAATACAGGGTATTTAGAATTGGAACAATATCAATAATTATTTTATTTAGTCTCTACAGCAATGTTGTTGTAAGATACCCATCTAATGATTGTGATCAAACAGTCAACCTCTTATTTTGAAACCAGATCCTTGAAAGAGTTCAAAACTCAAAGTAAATTGGTTAAAAAAAAATTTTTTTTTTCCTCCAATATGGCACCTGCCCTACAGGCATAGTGATGTAAGAGTTTCTCTGGAAAGCCACAATCAGTGGAGGAAATAGTACCCAGGGGAATAAACACACACAATAATGTTTGATCATTTTTCCTTTTTCTCTATTTCTGAGAAAGTGACTCATAACTATTGATGTTGTTGTTATGTGCTGTGGAGTCAGTTCCGACTCATAGCAACCCTGTACAGGGTTTCCGAGACTAAATCTTTACAGGAGCAGAAATCCTCCTCTTTCTCCTGCAGAACAGCTGGTAGTTTTGAACTGCTGACCATGCAATTAGCAGCCCGATTCATAACCACTATGTTACCAGAGCTCCTGAGAAGAGCAATTTGCCCTAGGGAAGAATACTTTGTTTTCATTTAATGCCATCAAGTTGGTTCCAACTTTCCAACTCATAATGATATCCTTTATAGGGTTTCTAAGAAACAGCTGGTGGGTTTGAACCACCAACTTTGTGGTTAGCAGTCCAGTGCTTATCCTACAATGGCATACCAGGAGTTGTTGTTGTTATTGTTAAGTGCCATCAAGTTGGTTCCGACCCATAGCAACCCTGTATAGGGTTTCCGAGAAGCAGCTGGAGAACTTGAACTGCTGATCTTGTAGCTCAAACTGACTTTGCAGTTCAATGCATTAACCCACAGTGCCACACCAAGACTCCACCCCAGGGTTAAGATATTGTAAATAGACCCCCTGCAGTAGGATTCATAGTACTGGTGTGATGCTGTAGCATAAGCACTGGACTGCTAACCTCATGGTCAGCAGTTCAAACCCACCAGCAGCTGCTTGGAAACCCTACCCAGAATTGTTATGAGTCAGAACCCAGTCGACGACACTTAGCAACACAGTAGAACTCACCCTATGTTCTATTGCTGATCATGTATTTTTAACTGAATTTTTTACTAAAATTGTCTTGTGCCTTTGGTGACCCAGATTTGTTTTTGCAAATGTTATGGCATTTTTCATAGATGAGAGAGATTTAGTCCCCAAGTCAACCCAATTTCACCCAAAAATATTATATATTAGAAGGCGTCAAAAGTACTCAAATGACACCTTGCTAGGATAGACCAAATGTTACTGTGTTTAAACACATTTGTCACAGATTCGATGAACTGAAATGTTCCTTTTGTACTAAAAGCTGGAAATGCCCTAGCAGGCAGAAGACAGCTATTTCCAAGGTCAAAAAACTCCCTTTAACATATTATTTTGTAAGATTGGTCTGTTTATTGGAAAATGTCCCAATTTTGTCATTATATTTGATGGACAATTTTTCTGGGTATAGGATTTTTGGTTAGCAATTTTCTTCCATATTTTTATATATATCATGCATAAAGATGTGTGTTTGGCTCTGCTAAACACCACAGTAATCCTAATGGAGGTGTCACTTCTTTGAAGTCCTGGCGAAGAACCAGATGGTATCTGGTGAAAGACCACCATGAATTTGAAGAGTCTTTTGCGGCTGCCATCTAGGAGCCCAGCAAAGTCCAGATTTGGGCCTTTGATGTGATTTGCCTTCTAGCTCTGACCAAGAGGAGAAAATGCTCCAGAGTTTGAAATCTGGAGGTTTTTTAAAATGCGAACAACTCCATCCAGGCAAAGCTCAATTTCATCTTGTGCCTAGGTTTAAGTGTTCAGATGCCAATGTTTCTTGCACCTATGACAGCTGAACTGCCAGAGCTAGAAACAGAATATATTTGAAAATGGATTTGGGACCACTTCTCCCAGTCAGCGCAAGAAGAACAATAATTATCTCACAGGATGGAAGCATGCTCTTAATGGCTGGCTGTGATTTCATAGCCTAAGAACCTCATAGATATTTTGTAAGCTTCCTTAGACCTGTCATGTGTAGGTGACACATTGCTGTGGTTGTAGGAGGAGTTTCCTTTGTTCTCTGTGTCCTATAAAAGGTCACCTTGTGGAGGTAGAACTTTGAAAATGAATCATGGCCTCATATCAATGGTTTACCTCACCTGGGTAATCTGTTTCTTTTGCCTTGTTTTTACTCCTGTTTAAGACTTAGTTAGGAGCTCTGGTAGCGTAGTGGTTGCGATTTGGGCTGCAAACCGCAAGGTCAACAGTTTGAAACTACCAGCTGTTCTGCGGGAGAAAGATGAGGCTTTCTGCTCCCATAAAGATTTACAGCCTCAGAATGTTGCTATGAGTTGGAACCAACTCCATGGCACACAACAAGACTTAATAAAGAGTCTCTATAACATTTTTTAAAGAAAGTAGTTTTTGTGTTAAATTCTCACATAGCTGCTTTTCACTGGTGTCCAAATTTGTAGAAAAATTAAAATTTTTACAATATTGTGTCTTTTGAACTGCACCTTATTTGTAATAAGATTTTTTTTTTTTTGTAATAAGGCTATTTTTTAATGTTTAGTCTATTTGGGTTTTTCAGAATCTCCCGGAAACATTAGCTCCAAGTTTAAAAGCAATTTTGAAGAAGGATATCTATAAGAAAAGAGGAAAATATTTCATAAGGATTGATGATTTTGAGACTGAATACAATTGCAATTTTAGGTAATAATGCTCATATTTAAGTTAAGTAAAATATCTATTTTGCAGACAGCATTGAAGGTGCAGTATTTGCATCCTGTACTAAAATGAAATCTGCACTCCGGCCTGCATGAAAGAGTGAAAAGGCAATTTGAATGTTCTTTTTGGTATTTTGTTGCCAATCACATTCATCAGTAGACAGAATACAGAATAGACCTTTTCTTTATCAAATCACTCTTAGCGAGTATTTTTCAAACTGTGCCCCATGAAATATTATGTGTTCCATGAAGAATTTTCAGGAACCTGAAACCTGATCCTACTTTATTCAGAGAAGCACTGTCCAATCTGTTTGCCTAACATCTTATTTGGGGGAGTGGAGGGAAGGAAAGGGAAATTTCTGCTGCTTGAAAAAGAAGTCCATATTTGATATTTACAGCAAAATGATGAGATTTTGCCTAAGGAGATTTATTTAAATTACATTCACGTTTGCAGGAGTAGCAGATTTCCTGGACACTGATTCCTACCAATCAGCTTCAAGGAGTACTATTCAATAGTCAAATTTAATTACCACCAAAATATCACTCCCAAAGGACAAGACATTTGAGCTGTCTGGTCATATTCATCTCTCCCTGTGAGCAGGGCTAAGGGAAATTCCACTTGTAATTAGAGGCTCACTAGGTGAACAGACAATCAGAAAAGGCAATTTGAAGATGATTTTCATGGTCTTTGTTGTTAAGTGTCGTCGAGTCAGTTCCAACACGTAGCGACCCTGTATAGGGTTTCCGAGCAGCTGGTGAGCTTGAACTGCCGACCTTGCAGTTCAAACGACTTTGAAGTCTGGTGCATTAACCCACAGCGCCACACCAGGACTCTTTCTTGGTCTCTAGAATGAAGTTTTTTCACAGGGACTCTGACAGGCTGACTCTTTACCAAGTGGTCCTGCCTCTTAAACATGTTGCTCAATGTATCTTTCCCCCCTGGACAAAGTTGCTAAGTGTCTTATCAGAGTCTTACTCCTTAGAATTCTCTCTGCCAACCTCCTTTTATTCTGTTAATGAAACATGTTCCAATATGTGTTCCTCAAAGCATCATTTCCAGATATTTAATCAGTGCCACTCAGAAAAGGGATTCCATGGTTTTTTAAAGCACTGGGTGAAGCAAAATTAAACAAGGTTCTTTCCTGAAAGACTTAAAAAGTCCTTTAGTCATTGGACTCTTTCGATCAAATAGTGTTCTATAAAATACATGTGAAAAAAACAACATATTGACCCATTCTTTTTTCTCAGTGGATAAAATATGATTTATTAATCAACAGCTCTAATGTAGTTACATTTTCCTAAATTGACAACCTAGTTCCCATGTGTTTTTAAAGAAATGGTAGAAGGCACTGTTTTAGAGGAAAGATTTGGTGATCAATGCCTACTCTGTCACTTTCTGGCATGTGATATTGGCAAATTATTTGTGAGTGATGAATAGTCCCTGTTTTCTTAGGTTTCTACGAGGACTAACAGTTTGTGATACTGGGTTGCCTTATATGTTGCTATGATGCTAGAAGCTATGCCACTTGTAATTCAAACACCAGTAGGACCACTCAAGGTAAATAGGTTTCAGCAGAGCTTCCAGACTAAAACAGACTGCAAAGAAAAGTCTGGTAAATTACTAATTAGCCAATGGAAACTTTATGGGTCACAGCTTGCTTACTTTTGATACATCAGTAGGAGGGACTAGTCACTAGAGGAAGACATTATATTTGGCAAAGACCAAAGATGGTGAGGAAGATATTTGGTGAGATGGATAAGTACAATAGTTGCAACAATAGACAGAATATTGAATGATGTAGAAGATATCAAAAGAAGAGTCACTGTACCCAAAACAATTGGTTGCTGTTCAACCATTTTAGGAGGAAACATATGATCAAGATATGATGATATTGAAGAACCACGTCCAAGCTGCACCGAAGGCATTAATGAAAAGTACAGCTCCAAGAATTTCTAGAATGCCAATTGAAATGTTTCAGCAAACCATTGCAGCACTGGAAGCACTCACTAGTCTAGGCCAAGAAATTTGGAAGACAGCTACCTGGCCAATCAACTGGAAGAAATGCACATTTGTGCTAATTCCAAAGAAAGATGACCCAATGGAATGCAGATTTTATCAAACATTATCATTAATATATATGTAAAATTTTTCGGAGGATAATTCAAAAATGGTTGTAGCATCACATTGACACAGAGCTGTCAGACAATCAAGCTAGTTTCAGAAGAGGATGTAGAACAACAGCTATTATTGCTGATGTCAGATGGATCTTGGCTGAAAATAGAGAACACCAGGAAGATATTTGCCTTTGTTTTATAGACTTTGCAAAGACATTTAACTGTGTAGATCATAACAAGTTATGGATAACATTTTGAAGAATGAATATTCCAGAACACTTAATTGTGCTTATGTGGAACCTGTCCATGGAACAGTCCTTACTCAAACAGAACAAGGGGATAGTGAATGGTTTAAAATCAAGAAAAGTGTGTGTCCATTCATAATACTTATTCAATCTTTATGCTGAGCAAATAATCTAAGAAGCTGAACTATATGAAGAAGAATCATCAGGATTGGAGGGATACAATAAGCACATGAGATGACCTTGTTTGCTGAAAGCAAAGAGGAATTGAAGCACTTGCTGATGAAGATCAAAGAATACAGCCTTCAGTGTGGATTACAACTCAATGTAAAGAAAACAGAAATCCTCACAACTGGACAAATAAATAATATCATGATAAGCAGAGAAAGTTTGTACTTGTCAAGGATTCCATTTTACTTGGATCCACAATCAAAGCTCATGGAAGCAGCAGTCAAGAAATCAAATGATGTATATAGTATCAGGCAAATCTACTGCACAAGACCTCTTTAGATGTCCATTTGAGGACTAAGGTGTACCTTCCCTAAGCCATGGTATTTTCAATCACTTCATAAGCATGAGAACGCGTGACAATGAATTAGAAAGACAGTAGGAGAATCAATGCATTTGAATTATGGTATTGGCAAGGAATATTGAAAATATCAGGGACTGCCAGAAGAGCAAACAAATCTGTCTTGGAAGAATTACAGTCAGAATGTGCCTTAAAGCAAAAACAGCGAGACTTCATCTTACATACTTTGGACATGTTATCAGGAGGGATCTATTCCTGGCAAAGGACATCATTCTTGGTAAAGCAGAGGGTCATCAAAAAAAGGAAGACACTCAATGAAATGGAATGACACAGTGGCTGCAACAATGGGCTCAACCATAGCAATTGTGAGGATGACACAGTACAGGGCAGTGTTTCTTTCTGTGATGCATAGAGTCCCTTTGAGTTGAAGTGGAAT